CTCCATCAAAATCACTTGTTAGACTCACAAACAGCTTATGAGAAAATGATGTACTGTATCTGATATATTCAGGGGGTGTGAAGTAGTTCACACCAGTTCACACTAGTTCACACCTCAGGAAATTGACAGGAACTGTGTCTCAAACCCAATTTCTGTGTTGTTTCAGTGTCTCTTTCAAAATATAATATCACACGTAAGATTATTGAAAACAAGTACCAATAACAAAAACACTATTACCACGCAGCTGTGATAATAGGCAAAATCCATTAAAACTACCTTGAAAACATCAACAAATGTAAAAAGAGCTGTGATTATTTTGAAGTAGCTGCCACAGGTTTTGAAGTTGGCCAAAAGGTAGAGTTCCACTTACCATCCACCAGGTTCTGGCTGACATGTTATAGCAAAGCTGCCACTTGATGGATCTCTCTGTCACAGCCATCAGTGAGCTCTCATCAGACACAGCTCAGTGGAATTTAAGACACTGAATCAGAGGAGCATCAGTGGAGGCACAGAGAGTTCCCTTCTCTGGGATGAAGGTTCAAATGAAAGCCACAGCTCCACCAGGGACTTCAACCTGACTGTGACAATTACATGAGCCGTGAACCAACAACCCTCATCGGCCCGCTCACCCCCACCACCCCATACACAACAACCTCCTCCTCCCTGTTCCCACCCTGGCCCTCCCTCTTTCTCTCTTACACTTGTGCAGCAAAGTGTTGAAAGACAGTGGTTTTACAACACAGTGGATTCAACAGAGTTTCTGAGAAGGAAGAACATGGAAAAACATATGAAAATATCCTGAATACAACCTGTTCTAAGAAATGCATCATGTGATCATACACAGAAATACGCCTTGCCTTCATGAACGCTGACTTTCTGTCTCAACAATCAAACTGGATCACATTTTCAGAAGAAAAGGCATGTTATTATTGAAAGGAAAATTTTAATTTAAGTTAAAAATAGGTTTTCAGGTTGGTAAAATGAAAATAGAGAAAAAGAATAAACTTTAATGATATGTACAACTGACAAAACTACCCTGCTACAACACTATTTTAACTATAATTTCAGGCTGTATTATTTTCAAGGATACAATTTATTGTTACAATTGTAAATAATAATAATAACAATAATAATTATAATGATAATAATTTTATTATTATGATGATGATTGTAATTATAATATAATATATAATAATAATTATTATTATTATTATATTCATAATGTATATTATTGTTTTTGTTGTTATTGTTATTCTTATATTTTGGAGCAGTAAGTTTACCATGCAACTTTAAAAAATCGATAATTAAAAACATTTATTATACATTCATTTTGAGCCTGCAACTACTGTATGACATTGCCATAAAATAACAAATTGAAGCAATGCATCACTGAATGCACCACACTTGGCCTACTGTACATCCACATTCAACTGAAAACACAAGTCTTCCAAAGTGAAAATACGGGGAAGAACTACTTAATATTGTACAGTAAACAACAAAATGCATAACATAAATAATAAGAATAAAATAATAATAACATAATGCTTAATGTAATAAACATAAAGAAAAACAACATGGGCCTCATGCAGTGTCTTTGAACAACATCAGTGTTCATTTTAATCTAGGACAAAATATCTGCTCTGATTTGAGGTGAGTGGGTGTGTACCAGTCACCTGTTAATCCAATGGAGAAAATGAAGCAGGGACCGGGAGGATTGTTCCTTTTCACACCTCCCATCTGCGTCACAGCTTTACTGGAGCTATTTGTATTTTGATCGGTGAATTAAGACATTTGGTGTGTCCATGTAAATGGTATCTGAAGGCCAGATGAAAGGAGCTTTTCTTCCCTGCTACATTCCAATCCTCCTCACTGAGTCTGCTCAGAGCCAGCTGGATTTCCCCACAGGGGCGGTGGGCGGATTTAGTGACGGTTACTTTGCATTAGTTACA